TTTATGGTCTAATATGAGGTTACGAAACATGGGCAGACAAAAAGCCTCAGAGTGGTTTAAAGGTGCATTATGTAGAAATTAAGAAAAAATGACATCCTGTGGTTAAATTGGGTTACTGCAACCAACAACTCTGGAGCCTTTCTTTTCATCAGCTTGTAACTGTTCGTAGTTAGCATCACTACAAATCAGACGTCAGCATGTTGCATCTTTTTGGCCGTAGTCTTGAAACGCCTTGAAGACGTCACCAAAGCATCTCCTGTACCCTAGCGTAGCTGCTATGGTCAGATTTGTGGTGGTTCTTTCTTCTTGAAGGAAGGATGTGAAGTTTGCTGAACTTACAGCCATTTTCCCTGTTTTTCTCCATCTCTGGTTTGATTACATCACTTTGGAGAAGCAGATTTTTAGTCCTGGACTTATTTTCACACAAAACCTAAATAACATTTTCCCCTATTTAAAAAAAAAGCTCTTTCTTGGTATCAAAATGTGTCTTTAAAATTCACGGACATCATATGTGAAATTCATGGCGCATAACAGAATTAGACAACAGCGTTTTTAGCCCCGTTAACTTGAAATTTACTTTTTCGTTCTTCCGGGAACCCATGGTCCAGATGTTGATGGTTGTGACTTTGGCTCCCTATTGCTGGAGAAAAACTACCATAATAAGTGTAGTAAGTGCTCCCTAATGTAATACACCCAAAAGTGCTAATGCCAGATATGACAATGTATTTATCTACTCATCAACTTTCTGTGTATGACTCATTTTTGCTTATTATCCAGAATTTTATTGTGTTGATCCATAACTGGCAAATGCCTTGAAACTCATGGAACAGAAGTGAGAAGGTGATATTTATGCCTAAAAATAGACTGCAGTAACCACATTTGACCACAGGGTGTCACTTTTCTGTGTTCTCACAAACTGCACGTTTAAAGGTAAACAAAAAAATTGAGAGGCGCCATGATGGGAGTGTGAAGTGGTGAGCCAATTCCTCTTTTTCGCAGTTTGCCATTTTAACCACCAACATTCACAGTCAACCCCCCGAACCACAAATTTTTATTCAGGTTTCAAGACTCCGGCCAAAAAGACTGTGACAAGACAGATTGCCCAACATGTAAACACTGGCTCACTCTATCTGATCAGAGCGTTGCACCTTCTCTGAGGCAGAATGGGGTCGAAGCTTAAGCCGACAGAAGAAACATCAGAGCCTCATCAGCGTGTTTGAGAGAAGCACTAAGACCAAATTATATTTAATTAAATGTGGATGATTTCATAATAAAAGCTGTTCAAGGTGTTCAAGCCTGATAAAAAAAATGATTGTCTTTTTCAGAAACTTCTTTATCATAAAACCACTTTTTAATTATTCCTTGACCAATATGTCTTACTTGGTCATTTCCTCTGTAAGGAATTCAGCAAATTCAGGTGCACGCTGCAAATAAATCCCCCTAGCAACATATACGTCAGCCTGAGCCTGGGTTATAATAAATGTCCTTCAGCCAAAGATGAAGCTGCAAGCTCAGCACCAAAACCCAGCAGTGGAAGTGTGAAGCCCACTAAGGTTGAGGATGATGCATGTGCTGCACTAAAACAACTTTATGTCAGGATAATACGTCACTCTGATACAAATGAAATGTGTTTAACATGCTGGAAGTAATTTTGCATTTAAAGACAGACGTACTTTAGGTTATAATACCTTTAAACATGATAACCAAACATGCAGAGTGAGCTGCTGAATAGATTACTGTTGTACTGGCATAAGAAACGCTCCATGGCTTCTTTCAGGCAGGAATTCTGCAAGGAGACAAATAACTTTTAAAAATAAACACCACCTTTCAGCCAAAGTACTCTGTGCAAATTGTTGCACTTGCTGCTAGAGAAGAACACACTTTGCCATGATTGAAAGCAGAGTCAGAAGGTGAAAACAATAACTGCCTCTCTATCTTAGCTGAAGAAAGAGTGTTTTTTATTTATTTATTTATTTTTATGATGATTTGAGATCTTCCACATGCAGCTTTCTGGATGCAATTACGGCTCTAAACGTGCGCCATCCGTCCAAAGGAGAAGAAGGAAAAAACGATTTTGAAATAGTAATGCAGCGTTCACTCCACCACCGTCAGCCACAAGTCCATTCAGAGTGTTGGGATATGGATTAATTGACTAGCTCAATAAATAAGCTCTAAAAATAAAACTGTGTGGGCTGTGTGCATCATTTGAGTGGGACGTCAGAGTGATTCATAGGGGACAGAGATCTCACGTTATGTTTCTTTGTAAAAATGAGGCAGAAAAGATAGCGCTCATCAAGGAGAAGGTTGGTTTTTGTCGGAAAATTCTAAAGAGTCCATAAAAGAATGTAATGTTTCTGATTTTAAGATTGTTCTTAAAAGAAAACAGGTCAAATGTTCGATTTTAGACAGAGGAAGAAACTAAGGAGGTACAATTTATAATTGTACACGTGAAGAAGACTTTGCATCCTAAATGCCTTCAAAAATCTTTAAAAAATGGAATAGATGTTGCTTCTGCATTCTGTGTTAAACAGCTTTAGAGGACACACTGAATGCTGACAAATGCTATGTTCAAATGGTAAGATGTGCACAAACAAATTGGTTCATGATCACAACGAGACTATATTTAACGAGATCTGCTTAAAATCCGAACCTCAAAATATTTTTGAAGAATCCATAAAGATACAATGCTAGATATTTGATTTAGATGCTTTTTACATCAGAATCACAATTTCTAATTTAACTGGTATAATGTGAAAAAACAATTCTGTTAAAGAGACGATGTGTAGTTCTTATCTCTGGAAATATCCAATGAAATGTTCAAAATGAATGAAATGATGTCAAGTTGTTGAAAAACATACAGTAACTATAAAAATCTGGTCTTAAAGACATGGAAGTGGGTTGTCTCTGGGCAACACCATATTAGACGTCATGTTTCCTTCTACGGGAGCCCGTTAGGACAAAATGCATTTACTAATTAGTAACAAATGGTTACAAAACTTTCACCTTTTATAAATGTTGCTGTTTTACACATTAACCTCTTTGCTCATTGCCAGTGATGAAAGGAAGTTTGATGTGCTTGTCATTTTGCTGGAGGTTGCGCTCCCAGGGATTTTTGACCCTCATGGCCCTCCGTTGGTAAAATAAAGTCCCATTAATTATCATCACACACTGGTGAAATTCCTCTCCGCATTTGACCCATTCCCGTGGGGAGCAGTGAGTTGTGTTCAGGAACTATTTGGTGGTTTTACCTCCCAATCCAACCCCTTGGAGCTGAGTGTCAAACAGGGAGGCATAATTGAGTCCCATTTTAAAAGTCTTTGGTATGACCTGACTGGGATTTGAACCCTGATCTCCCAGATCCATGGCAGACACTACCACTAGGCCACTGAGAAGATGTTACTGGAAATAAAAAATATTGCTTGATTGCAATGGTTTAGGTATGTACTGCCTCCTATCAACCAGGGAAAATACACACTCTCACTTTGAAGGGGACAAATTATGCAAAACTCACCTTTTGCCAGCGATGGGGAATTATTGCATCAACAAGTCATCCCCATGCCCTGTTTTTCTTCAGCTAAGCAATCAAACCAGGTGATTTCAATCAGAACAGTGAAGGAACCTGGTTTAATTGCTGAGAAGAACAACAACACGGCATGGAGATGACTTGTTGATGTCACAATTCCCATCTTTGCCATTTGCATCCTTTTGTGCTGCCATGAGGGTCTCCACTGACTCTATAACTCTAGCCCTCCAAACAAGAAAAATCCCATCCATCATAAGAATTATGTGCATAAAAAAAGCGGTTTCAAAAAGTCCCTGATTGTGATGTCACAAATGAGTAAAGTTGAATAGAACCGCCTCTCAGCTCTGGCTTGATTCCTCAAAGCAACAGCGCCCTGAAACGGCTCATTCTGGAACGTGCTGCAGAAGTCAAGATTAAAGGGATTTTATGCAAAACTGCTTTTATAGATCAGATCATAGAACAATTATAACAAGATAAAAAGTAATAATATGTCCCATTTAGTAATTTTTTTTTTTGTTTAGCTATTGTGACCAAGCTTTTTTGGGCTGTACGAGATTTTGACTTCAAAACTAGAATTAATGCATCTCTACTTTTAGAGGAACAATTCGTGAACATCCAACGGGAAGACAACCTCAAACCAGCTTGGTCGCCAGATCTCAGCTTTTATCTTGACCCATAAAACCAAGAACCCAAGAGCCAAAAACAGAACCTACACCAACTCCCAAACTCTAATTGCTAATGACGAAAACAAATCCAATGGCACAACGCTGGTTTCTTTTCTCAGCAGAGTTGATTCAGTTTATCATCTATTAGTAATTTCTCCCAATTTCTGTCTGAAGCAAAGCTAAGTGAGCCGATTACTCCCTCAAACACGCACTCAGTTTAGTGTGTTTGGACGAGGAATTCTCCTCGCATGACTCACAGCTATATTGAAAGGAAAACACCACCACATTTGAGTGACTGGAAAAAGCAACAGTTCTGTTACTCAAACCTTCTGACTAACTGCAGCTGCAACACATCAACCTATAGTTCAGCTCTTTAAATAGCTGCACTAACACCACTTCTCACACTGGATTATTCGTCTTTACAGAAAGCTGCAGGCTGAGTTTAAACATTATGATGTGGGTGATCTGTGAGAGGTTGGCAAGAAAGAAATGATATTGCTAGCACATCATTCTTCTCCTCACTAATAAAAACATGATTAATGTGGATTTATGCAATGTAGTGAGGTTTGGAGGTGTGTGTGTGTGTGTGTGTGTGTGTGTGTGTGTGTGTGTGTGTGTGTGTGTGTGTGTGTGTGTATTCTATTCAAATCGTTTGTTTTGTAAACTGCAGTCAGCAAAAGAAACAACAACAGAAAAAATAAAAACAAAAATAAATAATTACAGTTTTTTTTGTAATATTTATGAAATTTAATCAAAATGTGAATTGGTCTTCATGGTAAATCTTATTTTCCATCCATCCATTTTCAGCCGATTATCCAGAGTCGGGTCACGGGTGCAGCAGCCCAAGCCAAGAGGCTCACATTTCCCTCTCCCCAGCTACTTGGGCCAGTTCTTCCAGGGGACTCCCAAGGTGTTCTCTGGCCAGTCGAGAGACATAGTCCCTCCAGCGTGTCCTGGGTCTTTCTTTAGGTCTCATCCCTGTTGGATGTGCCTTGAAAACCTCACCATGGAGGCGTCCAGGAGGCATCATAACTAGATGCCCGAGCCACCTCAACTGGCTCCTCTCGACATGGAGGAGCAGCGGGTCTACTCTGAGCCCCTCCCGGATGACCGAGCTTCTCACCCAATCTCTAAGGGCTGGGCAATAAATCAAAAAAGTTTCACAGCGAGTAGTTTATGCCACAAGCAAAGATATGGAACCTGTTCTTTTGCGATGAAACTTCGCTCGTCTGTCTTTCAAAGCAGCAAAGTGATCGATGACCTTCTCATTGAAGTCAGGCATGGACCAGACTAGCTCCCTCTCTATGGGCAGCATGACCAGCGCATTAAGGCGTTCCTGGCCCATTGAATTTCTCAGAAATGTCTTAATTCTTTTGAGAGTTGAGAAGCACCTCTCAGCCTCAGCTCTCGTCATTGGGGTTGCGATGAGGATGTTCATCAAAGCGACAGTCTCAGAAAATGTGTCCTGGAGGTTGTATCTCATGAGAAGCTGATACAACACCAGCGCACCACAGCAGCTCCTGAACTCAGGGTTCTCATAGACCAGAGATAGTTCTGTCTTCAGTTTGTTCTTGTTGAGCATGGGCCTCCATCGTGGCATTCAGAGCACCCGTGGGAAATTCAGTTCAATTCAATTCAATTCAATTCAATCTTATTTATATAGCGCCAAATCACGACAAGAGTCGTCTCAAGGCACTTCACATAGTAAACATTCCAATTCAGGTCAGTTCATTAAGCCAATCAGAAATAATGTTTCCTATATAAGGAACCCAGCAAATTGCATCAAGTCACTGACTAGTGTCAGTGACGTTACAGCAATCCTCATACTAAGCAAGCAAAAAGCGACAGTGGAGAGGAAAACTCCCTTTTAACAGGAAGAAACCTCCAGAGAATCCTGGCTCAGTATAAGCAGCCATACTCCACGACTCACTGGGGATCGAGAAGACAGAGCAGGCATGCACGCACGCACGCACGCACGCACACACACACACACACACACACAAGACAAAGTAATGTGTCTATGGTTACATTGTGATGTCTTAGTAAATATTATATTTGGCGAGAGATAAACTTTATTGTATTTATCCTAGTGGATCTATAATTAAACGGATAAACTAGTAGTAGCACATCCAACGTCAAGGAAAGCAAAAAGTTATTATCAGGAGAGGGAGAATGTTTAAGTGGTTAGCAGCAGTGTGCTAGACGATGGCCCCCTCCATGAGGCCACCACAGCTCAGCAGAACATCATTGTAGCTTCTTCTGGGGAGAAAAACACTTAAGCCGGGCGTACACTGTGCGACTTTTTCACTTTTTTGAGCCGATTTTCCAGTCGTGCGAGAATCCACTACATCGGGGCGAGTTTTGCGCCGAGCGTCGTGTAGTGTACAGGGGGTTACGAGAGGCGATTAACACCATGTGTCCAGCTACCGATCAGCAATCGTGAGCTCGCACAAACTTCTGGAGTGTTTAACATTTCGCTCGTCCCTCGTGAGGGTATCGCACTGTTGAAGCGGCGCTGCGAGCAGCTGCGACCCAAAAAGTATCAGAACCGCTCACGGCGCATGCGCAATCCTGCATCAACGCCGCTCGCCCGCTATTTCCCTAATAACACACGTCGTTCGTTTTTGTTTCTACACGTTTTTTTTTTACTCACAAAGATTGTCAAGAAAGCGTTTTTGTCGTGTTCATGTCAAATTAAACTGATCACAAAACACAGATTTACTTTCTTTATTTCGTTTTCCTAATCCAACCCCCATAAATCCCTGTGTGTCCTCCTGCAGCACTCCCGAAGGACAACAGGCAAAACAAGACAAAAGAGTCTGAAGTGTTGAGTAAAAACTGCTATTTTTAGCGTATTGTTTAGGGCTGACGTGTTGCTACCAGACGTACAGTGTGAGAAGTCAGGTCGCATCCGAGAACTGGGTCGTGCAGTGTGAGCGCATGACTCGTGAGATCTGTCCTGCGAGGAAGTCGTACAGTTTGAGCTGAAGCTGAGTGCTACGAGTTAAAAAGTCGCACAGTGTACGCCCAGCTCTAGAGAGAAAATAAAGTTAACAGCTGAAATTGCAGAAAATAATACAGTTAAAGAGCAGATTGTAGAAGAAAGTAGTAGAGTGTGAAAAGTGGTCAGTGTATCCTCCAGCAGTCTAAGCCTATAGCAGCATAACTACAGAGATAACTCTGGATAACCTAGCCTTTTTAGATGGAGGCATGTTGGAGGCAGGGCAAGGGAGAGCCGTCTTTACTGACTGTACACTCCACCTCCCTCTACTCCCCCACTTGTCCAGATTTAGGCTAACATCAGATTTTAACCATAGGCCCTATCAAATAAAAATGTTTTAAGCCTAGTCTTAAAAGTAGACAAGGTGTCTGCCTCACGGACTAAAGCTGGGAGCTGGTTCCACAGGAGAGGAGCCTGATAACTAAAAGATCTGCCTCCCATCCTAATTTTAGACATTCTGGGAACCACCAGTAGACCTGCAGTCTGAGAGCGAAGTGCTCGGTTAGGAACATATGGAACAATCAGATCACTGATGTATGATGGACCTTGATTATTAAGAGCTTTGTATGTGAGAAGAAGGATCTTAAAATCTATTCCAAATTTAACAGGTAGCCAATGTAGGGAAGCTAAGACAGGAGAGATATTATCTCTCTTTTTAATTCTCATCAGAACTCTAGCTGCAGCATTTTGGACAAGCTAAAGACTTTTAACTACATTCTGTGGACTTCCTGAGAGTAATGAATTACAGTAATCCAGTCTTGATGTAATAAATGCATGAACTAATGTGTGGCAGTGCTGCTCAAACATTTCTGCTTGTAGCAGTGTGGCACTGACCAGGTGGTTGGTGAAGGAGAACCTCTCTGGTGTGAGTCAGGATGGTGTTGCAGATCTTCTCCCACAGCCTCTGCTTCTCATCCTCTCCCGAGGCCGTTCTCCTTCTGGTGGTGGTTTCTGTGGCCTCCTGCTGCTGCTGTTGAGATGAAGACCAACAATGCCTGTTAGTAAATCCAAATGTCAGAGCAAACAAATAATTAGACATAAGAACATGACAACACTAAGAAGTTTTATGCATCAAAAATAAAATTTCTCTGACTTGAGTGTGAAACAGCGACATGGAAAGTTTGCTTATAATATAATGACTTTGAAAGGTTTTGTAAATGTCACATGGTTGTCTGACATGACAATCAAGTGACAGGTAAAACGCTGATTATGTTGTGCTTTGGTTATAATTCTGGTTAGTTTAAAGGGCTATTCCACCCTTAAGTAAAATTTTACCAGCTCTCAAAGTTAGAAAGCTCAGTTTGTAAACAACTAGGGGTGCACCTGTCGATCGGCTAAAGGTCGAGTACTAAGGTTTCCATTCACTTGCCTCACATTGTAAAAGGGAATTGGTGATCCAACTTCAATGAATTGCGTTAATAGGTTACAAGAAATTGAATTGAGTTTGTCCAAGTTAAATTATTAATAGAACAAATTCATAGTATTTATTTAGGTTGAATCACTTATTACCTTTTTTGTAGTCCACACACCACACCTTGCTTTTAAACAGTACGCATGTCAAATAAAAAATAATAATAATTATTTTACCTTATTGCCTCAACACTGCTTGAAGATCTGGAGGGCATGCTTGATAAGACTGCATCGATGTCCTTCTTCTGCAGTTTCTTGTACAGGATGTCCACGTGAGGCATAATTTTACTAAACAGCTGCAAAAAAAACAAAAAAAAAACTGGAAATCCTCGTCCTGCAGCATCCTGAGAAACCCACATGCCTCTCTTATTGTGTTGCCATCAAAAGAACCAGATGAGTTGATGGTTTCAAAACACTGAATGAGGTCTTCCAGGTGCTCATGCACGGTGTTGACAGTTCTGCTGTTAAAGTTCCATCTTGTGGCTGAAGCTCTGCAGCCTTCTAGCGACTACCCCATCCAGAATGCTGGTGCGTTTCGGCGAGCAGACAAAAACGCTGGCAATACCGCTCAGAGCAGAAACACAATTTTTTCACGGCAGGGATGGTTGAGGTTGCTTGCTGCTTAATCAGACTGAGCTTATGTGCATAGCAATGCACAAAATGAGCATTTTGGAAATGCGCGCCACAAACTTTGACACAGTCTATGAGGCGATTAAGGAGATGTCGGTTCCTGCTCACCTCCTCGTTATGGCGGCGGACTGCCAGGCGGTAGCTGAAGTCTAGCTCCTCGGCGATATTAACTCGTCCGAACGTAGAAAACTTGAAGCAGCTGTCCATGTGGATCTTTGATGCTTCGTGTCTCTTCACCTTCTCAGCCAGATGGTGCGTGTCGGTGAGTCCTGTGGTTGTTCACGAGCGGTGGACCGCCGTGGCGCAATCTGGGTTGAACAGCAGGCATGGGAAGCAGAACAGCGACCCTGCTGTCTCACAGCCCACAAGCCAGCTCATCTGGTCATACCACCTTCTCGAAAATCCTCGATTGTAGGATTTTCCCGCCTTTAACTGCTTCTTGTTTGATGTTGAGATTTGGTCTTGGTGGTCCTAACAGTTTTGTTGCCATTTTATCTGCGTTGGTACAACGAATAAATGGAAACTCTTTCAAAGAGACAACAGTGTTGCTCCGGCAGCTCGCCATGATGGAAATGGTTTGCCGCTCTGTGCGTGCCCTTAACGCTACCTGTATTGGGGCGTAACGCGTGACGTAGGCATATAGGGAGAAGTCCCGCCAGCCCCTAGAAGCTGCGTTGTTGCTCCGGGAAGTCGGGGGAAAGCATGAAGCACATGAAAAAAACCTCCTTTTTCTTGGGAGGGCGTCGCCCCAACCGCCTCAATGGGCCAGCCGCCCCTGCCAAGCTCTGACACCGATCATACAGGGACCTAACAGCCTGTATGGGCCTGGAATCCCATACTCCTGGAGTGATCCCCCTATTTAGAACACAAAAAAAAAGAGGGACCACCCCAGTCTGCCAATCCAGGGGAAGTATCCCTGATGTTCATACGTTATCGTAGAGCCGCACCAACACAGCCCTACGACATCCAGAGCCTTAAGGAACTCTGGGTGGATCTCATCCCCCCCGGGGCCTTGCCACCAAGGAGTCTTTTGACCACCTCTTACAAATAAGACCTTATTTTATTTTATTTTATTTTATTACAGGTAAAATAAATAAATTAAACTCCCCCCCCCCCCCCCCCAACAAACCAGTTTGCAGAAGCAAAGCCTAAAAGAAATTGAACTCCGAATTGATTGTTGATCCACTTTTAGAACAAATAAGTCAAAGTAATTGTTTTCTGTTTGACCTTATCAGTTCTTCATTACGCTCTAATGTTGACCTATTCATTTTATTACTCTGCTCCAGTTAATTACGTTTTCTGGGCATTCATTTTTTACCAGAAGCACCCTGGGCTAAACTTTAGCTCAACCTTTTTATTTTGTACTTAAAGTATAAAGGACCTGTGGCAATATAAAAGCCCCAGTCATCATAACTCTGCCACTGTGCTTAAGCACTGACATCAAGTGTTTTCAAATGCATCTTTCTCTTGAATATTCCCTGCAAGTTCCTGTTTGTGTGACATCACAAACGAGGACTTTTTAAATTGGTTTGTATTAAGCATGCGATGAAATTCAACACTGAGACAAAATGGATAGACATTTTTTTTCAAGTTTGGAAAGTTTATGCAGCACTAAATGATGCAAAAGAACAGAATGCAAACAGGATGACCCCTTTCAGAAAGTTTTTTTTCCTCATCTCTGTTTTTTTTTTACCATAAATATAAAAAAGGATATTTGATTTTGTAACATTTAGATAATTTCTAACCTCAAACCCTTTTGAAGCAGCTGATTCTATTGCATCTATTTTAAATTCAGTCTCCCTGAAGCTCAGATTTGACTCTTCTTACCTCTCTCTCTCTCTTTTTGATGACCGCCCACTCATGAAGTCTAACTCTCTGCTGATTAATTCCCAAGTTCTGCCCACAAGCTGGCTGTGTTCGGATGTTTGGTGCTGCAGGTGGAGGACAGAGGTCTCATCAGGGCTTTTCAGCTGCAGATGAAAGCAGTGCTGATTAAGGAGAGACTGGTGCACACTAAAGGATATCAGAAAATCAAAAATGCACCTAAGGTACGTCCACAGCAAAGCTGACTAGTGAGTTACTGCACAGTATCCAGGTTCTGTTTTGGGGAATAAAAATATATTCAGTTGTTTATCATAAATGTCTTTGGCAGGTAAGAAACCCTATTTTTCATTTTATATTACTAATAAAATAAAACCCACTGGAAAGTTAGCTGCTGTCAGCTGATGCTGTTTGCTGGGTCTCCTGTGAAGAACCTGGTGAGATCTCACGCTGTTCCAATAAGTATCTCCACACTGAGCCCTAATCACCAAACACAAACACGGCTGCTGAGTGAATTCAGTGGAAAAGGTTTTAAACCGAACAGACGGACTGTCACGGTGCGGTGTTGGTAGGACCCAAAATGCAGTACCCAGGATGACACGAGGCAGATATGAAGAATAAGAAAAATCCTTTATTTTTAAGGAGAACAAAATAAGTCCAAAAGCTGGAAGCCAAAATCCAAAGTCCAGATAATGATCTGGAGATCCAAAAATACTTGAGACATGAGAAGACCAAGAACACAAGTAATCCAAGACGAGGCTGACAGAATAACAAACAATGGACCGACAAGACAATGAGAAACAGACAGGGCTTTATAGACTAGGGCACAATGGGAGGCAGATGAGCTGCAGGTGTGTGGGGAGAGAACCAGGTGAAGGCAACAACTAATCAGGGAGGAGGAGCAGGAAGGAGCAGGGGAGGACACCAGACCTGACTGGGGAAGGACACACACACACACACACACACACACACACACACACACACACACACACACAAAATTGAAATAATACACCTATAGAAATATGGTGGGGAGTCCAAGAGAACATGAAGAAAACCAGGAGGGAGCTGGGGACAAAAAGGCTGGAGCTACAACTGGAGGGGCTGGGGATGACCTGAAGGGCTACAAACAGAAGACACATAAATGAGACGCAGACAAAGGACACATGAGGGCGCTATGAGACACAAAAGGGGAATCTAGAGAGGGATGGAGAACATCAGGAGACACACGGGGAAAGACGCAGACGCAGACCATGGCACAAACTCACTATCATGACAGGACACACTGCTTAGGGATAATCCACCTCAGCTTTAAAAAAAGGAGAGAGACAGCTGCAGCCCTGTAGAAGGGTCCAATTATTAACTCTGTGCTACATTTTCAAATTTCCGTCAAAAGCTGGGAAAGAAACTAATGTAATAAATCTTGCACAGGTGTCTAGGTGGGAATTAAAGCTCTACAAACATGCTATAAATCAGCCAACTCTCCAAAGGGGTATCTGTGTTTCAGTTCTGAAATGGGGCTCAGCATTGAGATGGTTTAAATGGTTTATTTTTTATATCCCCTGGGCCCAATTACCCACTTAAATGTCTAAATGTTTCCAATTGAATTTGTTTGTATAGCCCCCATACAAACACATCTAAAAACGAGGAAACAAACCATCACAGAGAAATTATATTTTAAAAAGCAGATTGTTCAATACGCACTCCTCAAAACCAGACAAATACATTATTATTTCTAGAAAACATCATTTTACAGACAATTGTAGCGTGGGCACATCTACATACTAGGATCTAACACTGTTTGCTATCCGTTTAGTTAGATCCTGAGAAAAGATTGGACACATCAGCATATGAACTTATATTATACATAAATATCTGGGATATTAATACAATCGATAGAAGTTCATACACTAACTGTCTTGGCCTATATTTTAATCCAAAGATTAATGTTTAATTTAAGATAATTAAATTTAATAGCTAATTTTATTTATTAAACAGAAGACTTAATGGATTCTTTGCTTATTAAATAACCAAATACACCATTCTGTGTTTCGTTTCAAAGAAGAGTCAGGTTTAAAAAGTTAAGAATTTATTACTAACAATTTTAAAGATGACAATTTGAAAATGACAATTTGTAACAGCTCTATATTAAAGCTTGTTATTAAAAGCAAACCTGTGTCTGAATGAAAAGCTAAAATGAAATGTGAGGTTCGGATGCGTGGATGGTATCTCAGAAGATTTCTTTCAGAGAGAGAAATGCGTTCTGGGTGAAAGATATTGTTTTGCAGCTAACTGATGTTTCGTAGCGATAACAGCATACAGACGCCATCTGTCAGACAGTGTCTACCTCACCCATTTCAGGAGACCCTCTGTGGATCCGAGATGTCAGGTGGAGATGGTTTTCTCCGAGCACGAGGTTGGTAGAAGGACCTTAAGCTTGGTTTATGCTTGACGCATTTACTTTCCGCGCGGTGATGCGGCTCGCAGATGGAACGCGCTTCACAACTCGCAGCGTTTATGGTTCATGCGGCTCGTCTCTGCGGTGAGCCAATATTCTCCCAAACTGAACGGGGCAGCATGGAGCTCTATAGCAGCGGTTCCCAAACTTATTTAGCCGCGCACCCCCTTCTATGTCCCGACCATGTCGACGCACCCCCCCCCCCCCCCCCCCACACACACACACACACACACACACACATCGGGGCATGGCTCTATATATATATATATATATATATATATATATATATATTTATTTATTTATCGTGGTGGAGGCAGCGTTCATTTCTGCCTTCAGTCTGACAGCGGGCCGGAGTTAAAGCAGCGTGTGCGCTTATTGAATCTGTGTGCGTGTGTGTGTGCACACGCGCGCGCGGCACAGCCGCTCAAGTCACAGCGTCTCGCGCTATTTAAACCAATGTTGTAAAATGACTTCTGCCCAGCCCAGATGTGCGCACTTGTGCACCCGTGAGCCGTGGTTCCGCCGGAACGTGTCTGACCTCTGACAGACGCACTCTGAACTTCAGATCTTCAGCGCGCTGTTAATAGCCTGAATGGGAATCATTTCTTGTTATTTTGTTACATCCACAATGTTCTGTGTGTGAGGTTTACAATGTCAGAACACCTGCATGAGACAGGTGTTAATTACAATCTGCCAGAATGACTCGCCACCTTCAGATTCCTCCAACACTGTTAAAAATGATCAAATACGGAGCATATCGGCGTGCGCAGGCCGGAGCGCTGAAGCTTGGCGCATTGTTATTATGAAGCTGGGGCCCATGCGGAGGACACGCGCGCGCGCAAAAATATACTTGTTTTCAATTACATTTGTTGTGCCCACTTACTTTTTCTTTGGCCCACCCACAAATGAGTTTCTACGCTAATGGTTACATATGACAGACTTCTCTGAGCTCCGCAGCCATTACACTTTTCACCTCGCGCACCCCCTAGCGGCAGCTCACCACACTTTGGGAATCCCTGCTCTACGGCATGCATCCAACACTACACCATAGTAGAAGTAAACATGACTGTTTACAACATGGCATTCCAGCATTTTTAACAGCGTCCTCGTCTTTTCTGACAGTGCGAGGTATTTCTCTCCAAGAATTATTAACAACATGTTGATCACGGTGATCTCTGAGAGCTGAATCATACAAATGTCTGTATTTACCAACCTCTGCCATACTAGTTCTTGCCGGTCCGCCATGTTTTTCCGCGTCCGACCGTCCGCGTAGTTAGAAAATTTCCTTGGTGCGCATTGAGGAAATTTTGGGCCATGCGGAGATGCGGTGGAGGGGCGTGGTTGTTAAAATGACGCAATTTCGCGGCGCGGAGCCGTGCGGACCTCGCGGACGCGTCAAGCATAAACCAACCTTAAGTGTGACTCAAATCGGTCCTGAGATGTCTCCAGGTCACAACGACTGATGAAATTATTTGCGTCTCAAAATCAATAACTCTGAAGGAGTTTTTCGCGTCAGCTGGTTACAGGTGCATTTATTCGGAGCAATTCTATCGGCGTGACAGAACGCTTAGTGAGGATTCAGGCGGCCGTCCCTCGTCCTCTGGGATGGTTCAAGAACTGGACTTGAGCTGCTGAGATTTTAGTTTTAACAAAACCTCAGAACACGCCCTCTCAGCGTCAGAAAGCTTTTTGTTATGGAGCAAAGACATGTGAGAGCAAGTTAAATTTTACCCTGGATTCAGTCCTGCATGAGGTGTACACGTGCCAATGACCTTCTGGTTACTGATCACACATTACTGATTATCATAAATAATAATTATTATTAACCCACAGAATAATAAGTCATTTCAGTAATTAAATACATTTATACTGAACCATGATGATTATTTATGATGATTATTATATGATTGTAATAAACAGTACAAACAGTTTAAAATTATTATTTTTAAATCTTGAAGTGTCCTTCATCTTGGGACGGAACAGCAGACAGATGAAGATGATGTTTAGCAGACTGCACGGCTCCTGATGGATAATCTGTGGAACAAAAGTTACAGCTTGGGGAAGTGTAACCTTTGGGTCACAAATATGAGGCCATTCATGTCGCTACACAATCATGTTAGAGAATTCTGAATAAGGTGTGGATTTTTAGTCATCTACTCACGTTGTTCTAGTTTTACTCCGCCTTTATCACCCTGATCAGTATAAATGTGGAAATTTTTGAGTCGTGACTCAGCTGCACTCCTTTTCTAAACTCAACCTCAGCTACAAGGCAGAAGAGTGACCTCTACAGGAGCCTGTGAGGGTCATTTTATCCACATAGTGGGTGAGAGTGAGCACGTGGACAGAACAGGGAAGTGGGGCCTAATCCTGGTTCTGGAGGGCGAATATCCAGCATGTTTTCGTTGTTTCTCTGCTTCATCACACGTGCTTCAATAGCTGAGCCACCCGTTCAGCAGCTCAAGATCTGCAGAAAACTGTTGATGAAAATCAGGTGTGGAGCATGGAAACAAGTAAAACATGCTGCATAGTGGCCCTCCACGACCAGGAATGGGAATCCAGAGTTCAGATGGTAACACATCCAGAAAGGGAAGTCCTCTGCTATGTTGAGACACTGAGGGATGGAGGAGGGAGGAGGACGGGGGCACCAAAATCACATTCAGGAGGTGAGTGACCTGAACGTTAAGGAGCTGTGTTCAGCTGTGAGTGGTT